AAGCTTCGTATCGTACGTATACTTCCGATACAGTACGTACGTATGCTTCCTTTCCAATACGTACGTATCCTTCTCAGTACGTACGTATCCATTGCAGCTAGATCTATGATGGAACCCAAGAATCAAAATTTCAAGGTTGTTGTAAGATTAAACAGAAGCCTCATTACAAACTATTTAAGATTCCAGATTCTCAAAAAGACTAAGATGAAAGCCTGCCTTCTTCTTGCCATTGTGAGGATATAGCTGGATCACAAGTAGCTAGTGAATAACCTCACTCTTTACATCAACATTTCACAGCTATCTGTCCCTTGAAATTTTGATTCCCGATATTATATTGCTTAAAATGCTAATTTAGCATATCAACGGGAATCACCCATTCATACCATCAGAAATTTCGAAATTTCACCAATCCTCAAATTAATCGGTATTTGGTTCAATTCATACCAACGGATTTTTCGATGATGTCTTCAAAAAAAATATCACTACCAGGGGCAATAGTAAAGAGTAACGAAAGAAAGTTCTACGCGTACAAATCCATCGAACTAAGAAGCATGTAGATGTGTTTTCACGGTAACTACCGGCCGGTACGTACTACTCGTACGCGTAAAATAACAATTGAACTCAATACTGTACGTACTGTACTACTGTAACAGCTATTGGTACGGGTACATACGTACGTACTCCAGCATCGTAGTTCAACTAGGTAAAATCATTTTTTCGCTATCATTGCTCCTGCGCGGAAAGGCCACACCTGTGATGGATGGAGGACAGACAGCGACGATGATACGAGCACTCATACGGTTTCATTAGCATTACGTACCTACCGATAGGTGCCAATGTAAAGGTACTACAGTAAAGTAGTACCGATAGTATGGTACATTTACCGTGCGGTATCATCACCCATCAAAACAAAAACCACCAACCAGAAGATGGTAGTACACAAGAACATACTGGCACCAGCACAATACACCAAGAAAACGCGATCGAGTCTCACACTATACGATCAAGATGCGTCGCTCGTCTGCTGTGAGTCAATGTAAACCCAGGGGCCCTTCTATCGACCACGGGCTCCGGTTAGGGATATGTGCGCTCTTGGTTGCTTCGCTGGCGGTTCCAGCGAGCGGATGGTCCCTGAACCATAGCCATAGCCATCAGCATCGCCATCGCATCGGGCTGGCAAACCGTCGAAGCGCGAACCCCGCCGATGCAAGCCCGGCCGCGCTCTTTCTCTCGGCGGACACCGAATCCACCGGGGGGGAGGAACAGCTGGCGACAATGATCAAGGAAGTCTCCGGGATGCGGGTGTCCGAGCTGAAGGCGGAGCTCGGAGAACGCGGCGTCGACTTTTCCGATTGCTTCGACAAGGAATCGATGGTGGAGAAGCTGGCAAGCGCACGGGTGAACGGCGTTGGCGAGGACGACAACGACTACGAGCACCAGAGCGGCGAAAGCGGGGAGAACACCGGCGATGCCGCAGCGGTGGACGCCGACACCCCCCAAGACTTTGACCGGGAGGCCGCCCTCCGGGAGCTCAAGGGGATGCGGGTCCGCGAGCTGCGGGAGGAGCTGGGGAGGAGGCGGATCCCCCGGGCGGGCCTCTTCGAAAAAGAGGACCTGGTGGCGGCCCTGCTGGAGGCCCGCGCGCTGGCCTCGGTCTTTTGCGCCACGGGCTCGCTGGTGGCGGGGGAGGTCACGGAGGTCTCCGAGGACGTGGCCCGCAGGGAAATCGGCTTTGGGGGCGGCCCGCCGCTCCTCCTCGACGTGTACGCGACCTGGTGCGGCCCGTGCCAGATGATCGCGCCCTTTCTGAAGGAGATCGCGGCCGAGAAGGGGACCGGCCTGCGGATCGCCAAGATGGACAGCGACCAGAACCCCGGGCTCTCCTCGGAACTGAGGGTCCAGGGCCTCCCCACCCTGGTCTTGTTCCGGTCCGGCGAAGAGGTCGACCGCATCGAGGGGGCCCCCACGAAGGAACAACTCCTGGCGTGGATCGACGGCCACCGGTGACGGATGGAGAGACGGCGGGCAGCGGGTTCGATCGCGTCGGACACGATCACAAGAAACGCACGACTGCGATACGAAGAGGCACGCGGGAAGACCGGTGCCATTGTCCTAAGCTTGTAAGCAAAACGCAGTTTTTCAATCTCGCCGTTACAGTAGGTTTAGTTTCTGAAAGCGTGCGCAACAAAGCCGTCCCTCCGCGATGCAGCAAGCTTGGGAAATACGGATGCCTTCCGACAACCACCGATGGCGTGCCTTCCTGTATCGCTTGCACACACAGCGAAAGCCCAAATACGGTTTTGCCTGACGTGCGTCCTCTTCTCGTCCAACTTGGTGCTAGCTCTGCCTTTCCTACTAGCACCCTTCGTGCGTTTTGGTGATAGGTCCCACTCTTTCCAAACAACACGACTTCGCCTTCGTTGCATAGATAAGTTCTGACGCCGAGGCAGCAGATACAGTGTCCACTTGGTAGTCATGCAAAGCAGAAACAGGGCAACATGAAAGGACCTTCCCCCGTGACGGGACACGGATGATCTGTGCGCAATACTGGTTTTTCAGATTCGTACAGTACTCGTACGGGAGCGTAGGTCATCGTGTCCTTATTGGTGGTTTCTTCCTACCGTACCGTACTTCCACCGTGACGCTCGGTTGGAATATGGACTCAATGTACGAATCCTGAATCGTACCTTGCTTAACAAATTGGATCCGGACGGACGCACAAGGGGGACCTGGGCAATCGTGCTCGTGGCCTCAAGAGCTCGAAGAATGTGCCCACGCCTGTCGGTCGATGCCAAGCAGAACTAGACAGAGCTCTTTCCATTATTGAAGAAGCTGGAACAGAAGATATCGAGATCCTTGCAATTGGTTGCATCGTAGCCATTGCAAAGGTGACCGTTGCTTGCGGTGAAGCTTGCGTTTGCTTTGTCGGAACCTGCATTTCTTTTGCCTGTGTTAAGCTTCCTTTATGCATTGTCGGAACGGGGCCTAAATGCGCCCTTGCTGTTGCCAATATGGATTTAACACGTGATTGTGATCATTTCTCCCATTCTATCTCTGTGTCATGTGTTAGTCTACTTTCACAATAATTATGGAACTAATGAAAACTATTTATGTGTCAAGTTTTAGTCCAGTTTTCGTCCAGAGGTGACTGTCTCTGTAACTCTGATCTTCGTGTCACCCACCAGGCAGCTTTCCCATTGCGGCATCAAAAGCACCGTGAAATTCTACAATTCTATCTCTTTCATAGTCATTTGTTGTTCCTTCCATTCCATAAATTCCTTCCCGGATATCTCTGCAAAGTCTCCATACGTCAGCCGTTTTGGGTTGCGGTCCGCGTCGCTGTTGGCGAAAGATACGGAAATAAGATTGATAGCATCCCTCACCATTGCCATGCCAAGCAGAACGACGTCTACAGAATGATACTTCGTGGGTATGATAGGATCTATCCACGGATGGATCCTAAAAATGGTCCAGTCTAGCCAGCCGTATCGAATTTCTTCTGTGATGATGTTGCAGGGTTGGAAGATGCGAACAAAAGGTATTGAACCTGAGTTTTCTGTCAATGCGACTTCTTTTAGCCCCATCACATTGACCATCGTTGTTAGGAGTCCCCACCATCCTATGGGTGTCCCATCGTCGCCGCTTTCTAGTTCTTCTCTTGTGTATGGCGTTGGATGTTCCTCTGGATCGACCGAGCTAAATGACGTGAGGGACTGCACCTTCAGTTTCTCGCACAGCCTCGCCATGGACGCTACCATATCGACCTCCACGAAGTGAAAGCTGCGAAAGTCGTACAAATGCGGGAAACCCGATCCGGTGGCGATGAAACAGGCATCGGCGGGGCCCATGGCCAGAAGCTCCTCGTTTTGGTCGACGTTTCCCAGATCGGGGAGCTCCACCCGGACCACCTCGGGGAGCTGCTGCCGTGAGGCCGGCAGTAGATCCGTCACCTTGGGAGGAAATCTCCTTCCCACAATGATAATCTTGGTAAAGAAAGAGTTGTTGCGAAGAATCGCGCGTAGGACCGAGTTCCCAACGGCACCAGTGGCACCGAACAGGAGGGCGGTCTTGGCTTCCGCGATATACGATGACAACGATAACGAGGCCACGAGACCTAACAACAGAGTCTTCCTAGAGAAAAATCGGCAAAGAAGACGCATGATTTCACCGTTTGTGTATCTTGATGCTGCTGCAACAAATTTTTGGCGCTTTTTTTTTGGTTTATGAGAGTTTCGTTGCGTACGACAATGGCATTGTGCAAGGTTGTTCTAAACACTCACAAAAACAATGATAAAAAGGATAACGATAACCATCATAATGGTTTTCCATAGATTTCCGTAGAATTCATTTTCTGCAGAACCGTAAATTATCAAAAATGGATATTACTAATTGGAGTATTTTTTATTTAATAATATTGTAAAAATTCTGGGAATCAATGCAATTAAGCTCTTGGTATGAACCGTCCAGAATTGTTCAATGATACGGATCGCATTTTGCATTTTCTACGTTGCCGTAATACTACTCGAGAACTATTGCGTGTAAAGAAGCATGATCATCGTGTGAGGATGATAATGAGAGGGATGATTGCATAATATTGTCAATTATTGTTGAATTATTGTTGAAGAGCGTGCGTATCCACCTAACAGCGGTTTCAATTATAATAAGAAGAATGACGACGACGATAGTAATCATATTAAGTAAAAAAGCAAGGCAATAGTGAAAACCCTCTGAAGTGAATTTCTCGGGATACCAAGAGGAACATTAATTTTTTGGGGGATGTGAACCACTCTGAGTTATGACCCTTGGTTCTACCGATGCACAAGTATTGGTAGAGAATCACTGCTGTTCCAAAATAATGATAAAAAATATGCAGATTTGTACTGTAGTTTTTTAAGCTCTCGTGATCATCTACTTATTTTGATATGTTTAGCATGCGGCATGTGAAATACTATTACTAGTAGTTCTACTAGTAGTTTGCTGATTCCTCTTGAAGCTTAAATAAATCATGTTTTGTTAATGTGCACAAGAAAGGAGGTGTTTTTGCTGGTGCTAGTGCATTCAACTTCTTGTTTTTCTTCTTGTCTGCTGGGGACCACCAGCACCATGTTGTTACTGCCATCACAATAGGTCTACATGAGGTTCCAATCGGAACTTCGGAATTCTCGTGAACGCGCTTGGTAATCTTCGAATAATTCTAATCTTATAATTTCAATTTTCATACACACTTAACATACTAAGAGTACACGTAATCTCGTGCAATGCCTTCCCTTCTTAGCAACAGTTTTATCTTCTTGACCTCTTTTGGTAGAACATTTATAATCATGGTGGTCATAGAATCATCATGTGTTGCATTTAAGAGTACCAATTTTGGTTCATCTAATCCCAATGAGTCAAGTTGTTTTTCTTGCTGTTTGCTGTTTTAGTAAAGTCAGTTTTTGCTTTAAATTTTTGTTTGGTTCAGCAGTCAAGATATGACTTACTACTACATACTAGTATTTTATGAATTCAGACTTGATAAAGTCATTTCTAGCTCCATGATGGAGCTCTTTTAGAATGCCAAAATCTTTCTTCAAGTCAATACTAGTACTTTCCTAATTTCTCATCAAAATCTTATACTTCTAGTATTGTTTGAAGAAATGAACAAGTGACAGCCAGCACTTGCACAAATTTATTTTAATTTAGCATGAGTAAAAAAATACTGCATAGTTGTTATTTAGTATTGATTCAATACATGTTTCAGTTTGGTTTTGTGCAGTAATCCTGTTTGTTACTAGCAGCATGATGCACACATCCTAGCAGTAGGAACAGAAAAGTGTGGTCTACTCACATTTTTGTTGTACTAGTAGTACTAAAACACAAAAAGTGCACCTGAGAGGGATCTGTCAGACTTTCCTGCTTCTAATTTCTCCACCAACAATGTGAGGAATAGAAGGGCTGACAAACTTCCATTAATACAACTAGTACTATTTCTAACAAGTATCAAAGTGTCACCACCAGGATTCAGTAATTCTTGCATCATTTTCCTTGGTTGTCACAAATAAGTTGTATCCTGTGATTGTTGAGGATGAGGATTGACAACAGGGAGTCAGCATCCATCTACTAGGATGAAAATCACCAATACCAATACTAGTAGCAGTGGAAGCTGCCTAAAGAAATGCTTGCTGGCTTTTCAATGATCACAACTTGCTTTATCATGAAACTACAGTAGTACTGAGGATATGGTGATCACTCTACTACTAGCGTCCACAGTAGTACCAAATAGCATCCACCACAGTAGTAGTACCAAAAAATCTTAAATTTATATTTACTACTAACCTTGTGCACTAGAAGAGCCACTATGTTGGCCAGAACCAAAAATTCCAAGAGGTATGCTGGTGGATGTGAGACCAATTAGAGGGGTGGGGTGGTTGCGCTGTTTGGTGAAAAACTGTGTCACAGTGGTGTGTAGTGTTTGGTCCTTTGTAGTAATACTAGCAGTGGCCATAGAATGCTCTGACATAGTAGGCCATCTATGACATCTCTTCTTGGAGTATTTGTCAAATACCAGTCTCCCTCCTTGTGTAATGCTCTCCAGTGGTTGTCTTTGCTGTGAAGCAATGATGGAAAATTCTAGCTGGTAATAGAGTGCATATTGGAGACAGAGAGGTTTTGTGGATACTTGCATTAAGCCTTTTCTCCTGCACTCAGAGGTGATCTGACAGCAAACTATTCAAAGCTTTAGAAAAGAATGCTTCAGGATCCTCCTTGGGGAATAACAAACAAACATGGGAGGGACATGTCTATGGTTGCAGGGCAAACAAGTTGTCGCATCCACAGTAGTAATAAGAATAGGGTGATTCATACTACTAGTACATCATAAGACTCCTCCTCCTCCTCATTTTTCAGTTCTTGTATTTGTATTTGTAGTAATTTTCTCAGTGCTAGAGTAGTTCTTCTTCTTGTCCCATTTGTGTACTAAGATTGACTCAATACAAACAGATCCAAGCACCACTCTAGTACTATAATTTTTCCAATGGACTTTTGTTTCTATCATCTCATTTAGGACTGCTGCTGCAACCATGGTGGTAGTTTTTGTAAAAGATAGATCTGCTTGGGCCGTTCACCACCTTTGAGGATATACTAATGGCTGGTATGCTGTTTTTTGAATCAAGATGAAATTTATGAAGTGGTTGTGTTCAGTGCTCTTATTGAGTGCTAGTAGCACTGGAATTATGGTTTTGTTTCAGTGGTGTTCATTCTTCATTGGTGCTGATAATTTTCATGATGTTGGAAGACTTACAAGAATGCTTCTACTACTAGATAGTAGTGGCAATTTGATTCAAGGTGTTGTCAATTTTGGATGCTTATGGTCTGCTTTTTGGAGCCAATAGTTTAGTGCTATTGGCATGATCATATCATGCTCATTAGTATTAGTATTAGTATCAGTATCAGTATTAGTATTAGTATTAGTATTAGTATCAGTATTAGTATCAGTATTAGTATCAGTATTAGTATCAGTATTAGTATCAGTATTAGTATCAGTATTAGTATCAGTATTAGTATGAGTATTAGTATGAGTATCAGTATGAGTATCAGTATGAGTATCAGTATGAGTATCAGTATAAGTATATTTTTTGTACCAGTGAAGATCAAATCTTTTACTACCATTTTAAAAAATCAAAACCATCAACAATACTGTTCCCTTTCTTGTTGTTCTTCTTAGCACCACCATCACCATGATGTGTCATTACTAGTACAGTGTATCACAACCACTAACAAGAAGAAGCTCCTTCTTTGAATTCTATGCAATAGATGAGAATAAATGGAGAATTCTACATAAGATCTATTAATCAATATATTAGAACAAACATTAATTTTAGTAGCACAAGTATACAGAAAAATAGGAAGGTCATTGCACTGATCTATCCAAGGACAATCATACTCTTGGGGTGAAGGCCTCCAGCACACCACCAATATGAATTGATTACATATGCTTGCCTCTCCAGCTAAGATGAGGTGAATTCAACTATCAATAGCAAAGCCAAGACAAAAATCACTATCACCCACGCCAACTGAATGTGAACAAAATCGTCAGTAGATACACCGGTATGGGCTCCGTCTCCACCATGGCAACAAAAATACAATCCGCATGGAGAAGTGAAAGAAGAATTGATGTCATTCATGATATGCATGTAGAGACTGGGTCGGATTGTTATAGCATACTTGGGTGGGTTTTTGCCGTTGAAAAAAGATTGTTCGGCAAGGTATAGCCTTCCTCTTTCCGCTTCAAGAAGATTCAAATCGACAACAAGCTTCCTGTTATCCCTGATTTGAGTTGGTACCTGGTTGTAGACTACCCCAAAATTTTCGTAGGATGGAGTTCGTCTTGGACTGACATGAACGTTCTGTATACTCACGCGATCGTCTCCAAGATGAAACTTGCAATCGGAAGTATCTTCTGCACTAATGTCGCTCGCGCAGTCGGACAAACCCGACAATCGATTGTCGATATTCTCTCTCTCGAATTCGTCATCGACGCTCATCAAGTATCCTATGGATTCTATTTCCAATTTCGGAAGCAACGGAGTTTCCTCAACAGCCTCATCGAGAACCTCGTCTTCTAAGTCGTCGAGATGTGTTGTCGCAACAAAAGAAAACATTGCCTTGATGGTTGCCATGCTAGGGAAACGTCGACAGGCTCTTTTAATTTCTTATCACGCAGGTGGTATTGTCGTACACAGTTCCTTCTAAAACAAATGCTTCGCTGTCAAGAAAATTTTCTGCTATTGATCGATTCATCCTTCGCTTTGTCGAATCAATCCTTTGCCGTGGTCAAATAGGCTGAACTGATTCTCTCAGCTACTGTACGTAACATCTCCCATACCATGATGCTTTGATTTCTATTGAAGAATTGACCTCAATCTTTGAAGCGTATTACCGTACCGTACCGAAGTACGTACCTTAAAGTGCCCTACCTACCGTACGTATTATAATACGAGTGAGCTTATTCACGAGCTATTTGGGACTCATTCTCCCCAAAGCATTTTCTGAGTTTTGCATGTCACGAAAACTCCCGAAGTGCTCGCTGAAGTGATTTCTGAATTACCCGAATTGGTACGAATGTCAATTTTGGCTTCAAGAAGGAGCATTAGGGCGGCTTCGCTGTTACTAACTTCCCTGAAGATAAATACATATCTTTCGAAGCAAATAACCATCCATTTGCTTTTCAAACCACCATCAAATTGGGGCAGAAAATGGCAGAATTAGTGAAGAAAAAATAGATGACTTTCCATTAGAATATAATACAGAATTGTTTGGGTGGTTTAGTACCAAAGGAAATATGCGTGAAGTGTCGATTATTTCCCGCGCAAACGTTCGATTCCTGGCTTAGGAAAGTCGATCTGGTCTTCTTCATATCTTGGCAATGGTTCACGCAACGGCAAAAAAGCCTTCGTATTTCAACCAAACCACTACTAAATCCGAAACAGCCCTTTATGGATCGATTCCCCCCCTTCGGTTCCCGTCTATTGTGATCCAAAATCGAAAGATAGATTACATTCGGCGCATCGCCTTCCCCCAAGGGATGGTTGCCGATTGGAACTAGTGATACATTCATTCATGTATACAATTCTGTTACCGGCCGATACCGAAACTTACAACTTCCGTGACCTTCCTAGGTTTAACCATTTATTAATTCCAGGCCAAGAAGGCAACCGATGACGAAGATAAAGACGACCCACGCTAACTTAATGTCGACAAAATCGTTGTGCGATACACCGGTGTGGGCTCCGTCGCCGCCGTGGCAGCAAAAGAATAATCCGCACGGGACGTTGTAGGCGTCGTGCACCTCCGTAAACAGCTGCTTGTAGATATTGGGTTGAATCGTCAGGGCGTACTTAGTCTCATGATTGTTGTCGAAAAAGGAATACGAGGCTAGGTACAAACGCCCCCGGCCACCGTAGTCCATGTTCATGTCTTCCACCACCCGAACGTTCTTCTTGAGCTGCGTGGGCACCAACTGGTAGTCTTCTCCGTACTGCGCAAACGAATCCGTCCTCCGCTGGTTCACAAGAATGTTGTTGATGCTCATTCGGGTGTGGTCACCGAGGTGGAAGCTCTTGCCGGAAATATCGGAAAATCTCGCCTCGATGTCGTCTGAATCGTATGTACACGAACTCATATCGTCGTAGTTGTGGTCGGAATTATCACCGTTTTTGTTGTCGCTGCCACTACTACCATTACCATCGCTCATCTCGGTGCTACTGTCCGGTTCGTATGTCCCATTAAAGGAATCTTTCATTTCTTTATGTTCTAAAATATCGCAGAGTACAGTGCTTTTGTTGCCGTCGTAATCTTCGCCTTCACCACATCCTCCTTTCAAGGAGCCATAGTTTTGAATACTCTGGTGCTCGGGACCGGAAGCTTCGACGGACGGTTGAAATGGCAAGGCCTCCGCCATTGTTATTCTTTGTATCTGTTTCTATTCAAACAAGTATCGCGTTGCGTTGCTGTGCGCTGCGAGTTGGATTTGTGCCAAAAATTGGTTTCATCGGAATTCCATTTTTTGGGTTACGCACCGTACAGTACGTACCCCTATGTACAGTACGATAAAGATTCGTACGAGTACTGCACGTAACTGATGGCTGTTCGTTGTTCAGAGGAAGATAGTAAATAAGTTCTGTTGTCCAATACGGTGGCGCGTGACATCATCTTTACCGTGCCGTCCATGGTACCCCGTAGCCTCCCTTCGCCGAATCAAATCGCTCAAAGGTACGAGCAGCTAGTACCAAGTACCGTACCAGGCAGACAAGTTTCTGTACAGAAGATTCCCGACTTGAACATGCTTTTTTTTCAGAATAGCGGCAATATCGTACGGTTCGTACTGTAACCGATTTTTAAGCATATTCCGAGTTGAGTACTACTGCGTACAATTACGTACGTACGTACTCTTTGAATTCCCCAATAGAAATATGCGGTTAAAGATTAGAGCCCTAGCACCGAAATGCCGGTATTTTTGGAGTAAAATAACGTTTTGACACTTCTGGGACGATCATCATTGAAGATTTTACCACGTACCTTTGCTACTAGACCCGTTACTGGAATGGAATTAGTAGACGCAACGTGAGACACTACTTAGACCCGTTTGAACAGTCACACAAACTAATTATGAAATTCGATACTCAAGGGGTGGGGGCTGGGAAGTTTGAAAAAATTTCTGGTAGCGCGGCATATATTATGGTAGCGTTTCTGGTAGCAATCTGGTAGCATTTATGGTAGCAATCTGGTAGCGTTTCTGGTAGCAATCTGGTAGGAATTATGGTAACTGGTAATTTTCCAGGATTGCTACCATAAATGCTACCAGATTCTGGTAACTGTTCTGCTAACGTTCGTGGTAAAACACTTAATTCACATAAAAGTTGAGCATAAATAAAGGAATTTTTGCTCCCGGACTGATGGCAAGGGTTCCCCCCTTGATCCACGAGTTTCTACAGGATTTTCTACACAGCTTTGTACTAGGATCCATCGAAATAGATCAAGTTAACACTAACATTCGGAACGTTAACCCCTTAACGCGTTGCAGTCCCGGGAACCTGCAAGAAACTATCTCTACCAGAATTGCTACCAGAATTGCTACCATATTGCTACCATCTGGTAGCAATCTGGTAGCAATTCTGGTAGCAATTCTGGTAGCAATCTGGTAGCGATTCTGGTAGCAATTCTGGTAGCTACCATTTTACCATAAAAATGTTTGGTATTAATTAGATTCTCTGATCCCCCTACCCAAATTTTCAGTCCTCTTGTAAGCAATACGTGTCGTGAATGAATTCTGTGTTTAGAGCGCCAGCAAGTTACCATTCCTATTGCCAGAGTATTGCCTGGTAGCAAGCCCGGCGTGGTAAAATAGTAAATGGTGATCGTCCCTGTTTGAGTATTATTGCGTGCTTGCTCTGTGAGTCCTTTTGATTGGCTTGTATTCATTTCCAATTGCTTTCCTCGCTCGGCACGCGACCAAACGCGACGAAGTTTTCATAGATCATCAACTTCGGTTGAGGCGAGAATAATTGCCGTTCACCATCAAGTCATAGGCATCTAGAGGATAGCGACTAGAGCTATTAATGGTAAGTCCCTTAGTCGCAAGTTATTGGCAATCCCCGTACAAATACTAATAGAAATTTTTAGCTCATTTTTACAGTTAAAACCAGTTAAAAATGGCATCCAAC